TGTGCTGTGTGGGCAGTCACCTTGGGAAGCTTGTATCAGAACTCAAATGGCAGCTACCTGTCTCATTGTGTCTTAATGTCAGTTCAGTTTCAGCAAATGTTCCTTTTCCTTAGCAGCACATTGTTTCCTTTTGCTTCTCAGTGATTGAGAAGACAGAGACAATATTTTGACTGAACTGAAGTCATGAGACTATATTTAACTCCTATATCTTTTTAGCATTGCCTCTCTCCAGTCTGAGAGGCTGGCATGCATCCCTTTACAGCTGTTGAAGGAAACCAGTGCATACTTCTCAATACTTTGCCATTAGTAAAACAAAAGACTGCACAGGTGCTAATGCCTCTTCCGCCCCCAGAGTCAGGCATAGAGCACTCTGTGCCAGTTATGCCAGCAGAAACTGTGTAACAGTGCAGAAGCTAGAAAAGCTGAAAATGCATTCAAAGAAAAATAATTCCAGTGTAAACCCTAGGGAAAAAAAGAAAAAAAGACAAAATACGCCTTTTACAGTGTCAGCTGTTTTAACACATGGCCTTTTTCCTTCCCCTTTCTGCACCCATCCATGGCCCTTTTTTCTTCTCAGTGATTCATCTCCCATTCCTGCTCAGTGCTGAAAACTCATATTGCTTTCTTGTTGTCTTTACTCAACTCTCAGCACTTCTCCCCCAGCTTTGCTGCATTTTTAAAAACCTAAACCAGTATTATATTTGTAAGACACACCATCAGGGACCAGTGCTGTTCACATCCAGAGGCATCCATGGGACTCAACACACCGGAGACGGCAGAAGCAGTGTAAAGAAAATCAGAAGTGAGAGAAGGAGAACTGGCTGGGAGGCACCCGGCTAAACAAGCACTGGGAAGATGGGGAGAAAAGAACTCGGTGTGGAAAGCCTATCACATTGGTAGCAAGTGGTCATCCCGTTCTTCTGACTCCTCGCCCAGCTGGTCATCCCCCACACCACGGTACGCGGCTGGCGCGTTTCGAGGCTTGGATCGGCACACAAAGTCACAGCCGTCCTACAAGCACAGGACATGGCACCAGCATCAGACTCTGCAACTGACTCAGCATCCAAAGCAAAGCGGCTCCTGCGACTTCTCTTTTGCTAAGGGATTATGCCTATCGCTGTGCTACCTAAGACACGTCCCCAAAACTTGTCTTGACATAAAAACATTCTACTCGGTCATAAAGGCTCTGGGCATATTGATTAACAGTGTGCAGCAACACCAGGCCAAGGCAAGCACGAGGGATAAATGGCACTGCCTATAATGACCAAGGGAGGGTTTCAGGGAGGTCGGACATGTGTATTTCACAGTCCACAGGTGAACATTTCTCTCTGGAAAGCATTAACCCCTAAAAAGTATGTGTTCCAGTTATGTAGCAGTTGCAGGATAGTGGCAGGGAATTGGTCTTGGCAAGGATTCAAAAACAGAATACTCAAGAAAAATGAAACAGATATCTTCTTCTGCTTCAAAGTACATCACTCTGGCAGTAGGTCTACCCAAGAGACATAGTCTGCCATTTTCTCCTAATACAGGTGCCAGGCTGGGAATATATAGGGATTTTCACTCACCGCCACCAAATTGCCCAGATCTTGCCAGAAGGCAAAGTGAGGAAACTGCTCCATGCCCTTTGCTCCCACTACAAGGCGCTGGTAGAGGAACCCACCAATGATGTAGACTGCAATCAGTGAGGCAAACCTGGAATGCAGAATTAAAATAAATAAATAAATAAATAAATAAATCAAAGCTGAAGAAATCCTATAGACAATCTATTTCAACCCAACTACCTGCCTCATACTGGCATTAGAGCAAGTATCTGAGCACCACTCAAGAGCAGAGCTAAGGTCCCCAAATTATCAATTTGATAGTATAAATCTTTTAGCAGCATTATGTGAAGCAGTGCCTCTAAGCACAAACACAGAAAACAAGTCAAGACTCCTAGTCTGAATTCCGAGCTCTAGCAAAGAGCCCTTATACATTTTTAGGAAGTCACATCTCCATGTTTAAGTGCATTTGTCTGTAAGCTATGAAGGAGACTCTCTACAGGGAACAGAGCAGCCCTGCATCATGCTTAGAGCAAGAGCTTTTGTCCAAAAATCTCAGAGGCATAGTAATATCTAATGGTGGCTGTGGGTAGGTATACTACAATTACTTAGTCTACTATAGCATTTGTGAGGTTTCTAAATAGCACTGGAGATTATGGCCTAGGCACAAACAGCTCTTCCAATGACTCACGTGATCAGTAGAATGGAGCCAACACTGAGGTGGGAATTCTCAGCTGGACAAGCCACACTGCTGTCCATCTCAAAGAGGTAGAAACATTCCTGCTCCTTTTCCCGCTCTTCAGAAATAATGCTGAATGAACTCTGTAATTTGGAAAAGTTAAGCCATGTGAAAACATGCCCAGGTACATTGAATTTCACCAGGAGACAGTTTTACCATTGCTGGTGCAGCTAGGCAACAGATACTAGAGGACACCTTCCTAGCCCCTCAAAGCCCTTCTGCTTACAAACAACTACTTGTCTGGCAGCCTCCTGATCCTCTCCCACCTCATATGTCACTCACCGCTGTAACTCCTCGCTTGCAAGAAATCATTATCACAGCTCGTCTCTTCTCACCACTGCAGTGAGTGCCATATGAATCACCTCCTTTATAAATCAGCATGATCCAGTCACCTGCCAGGAGAGAAACATACAGGCTGCAAATTCAGATCAGGAGGCAAAAGGCAGCTGCTGAGTAAGAAAAGTGTGGAGTGGAATCTTACTTCCATTGAAGACCTGGGTTTCATTGATTCTTCCTATCACTGTGGTCTTTCCGTTCTGTCTATCTGTTTGCACCAGGCCACCATAATCGTGAGAAGTGCTGTTGACCTCCCTGCACACCCTGAATTGGTAGACGTAGTTTTCCGTTTTGCCTTTCTCCACAGTCACATTAAACCTGCAGCAGGGAAAGGACAGAACAGACAGCCCATCGGATTACAAAGAACAATTCTCAGAGCAGCAGGCACTTCAGACCTGCAAAAGTCAGAGTCCATACAGACGGGGGAACCCATTTCGCGGTCCTACCCCAAATCTTCCCCTCCTCCTGGCCCAAGGGCTGGCACTGCACAGCCCCAAGGCCTGCAGGGTGTTGTACTGTACCTCATGTGGCTCAGGGGCTCCAGTTTCTTCAGCAGGGCTCTTTCCATTTGTGATTCACTGCTTTCATCACCAATCACATCACAGTTCCTCTCTTCAGACTGCTCAGCCCCCGCTACAGCCAGGGCCATAAAGACCAGCAGCAAGGCAGAGGTATGGCAAGGTGATGGCATCCTGGACACAAGCCACAGGGAACACAGAGGATTAACTGCTTCAGCCCCCTGCAAACTAACTTCAGGGTCACGGAGTCAATGATTAGCCACTTCCTCAGTCCTGACTGCAAAAAGGAGAAGGTGAAGTCTAGAAACAACTCACAGTTCCCAAGAGACACTAAATCTGAGTCTCTTACGTGGCCAAAGGCAATTCACTTGGCCCACTTGGGACTCTTTTATGAATTTTCCCTTGGGACCTCAAAACGTTTTGCTGCTGAGCACACTAATTAGCTGCCAGACCAGAGTCCAGCAGGCTGAACACTGGAGTAATTTTCAGGCATAAGCCACTGTTATTGCATTGCACTGAGAAGCCAGTCAGCAGAAAATTATTTATGAGGCCTCTTATCAATCCTCTTCACAGATCTCATGTAAAGAGCTCACAGGAAAGACCCACTGTGATTAGTCAGGCTCTGTTTGTTCCAGTGGCTTAATCTTAATAATTATCTTTCTAGTACTACTTTAGCTGAGAATTTGAAAGTGTTTAATACTGCTAAGCTGCAACTTCACAGAAGTTTTCTTCTGTTTACACAAGGGAAGGATGAAAGCAAGACATCCTGTGTGAGATCCAAGCAACGAAGCTGTAATGATAACAATAATAAAATCTAGAAGACCTGGCTTTCAGGTTCATGCTAAAATCACATACAAAACATTCAATGATTGCACGAGCCCACCAGCGCGGTGCAACAAATTCTCCTGCCGTAGATTTTGGTAAAGCCCCACGTGCTGGCAGGCAGGCAGCCAGGAGACCCTCAATTAAACAATCGCCCGGCTGCAGATGGGCACAGAACCCATCTGACTGAACCCAATGGTTTCCCCGCATCCCTGCCGGACACTGCCGAGCTGGGGCTCTGCTTCCCACGGGGGCCAGGCGCCAACACAAGGTTAGAAACGCCTAAACCACAGAATCGGTCCAAGCTCCTCGCACAAGCAGGGCCGTCCTAGAGCACAATGCACAGGATGGCGTCCAGGCGGCTCTGGAATATCCCCAGTGAGGGAAACTCCACAGCCTCTCCGGGCAGCCTGAAATGAGGAAGCCCGTGACACGAGGGCTCGTGACTCGCCTCTCCCGAGGCCACAGGCAGGTCCCTGCCCCCAGCACTGGACACGGCTCCTCCCGGGAACCTGCCACGCGCCGCCGGAAGCGACCCCGGCCGGGCCCCCCCGGCCGCTGTCCCGCGCTCGCCCCTGCGGCTCCCCCTCGCCGTGCCCCGCTCCGCACCGTCCCAGCCTCAGCCCCAGCCCCGCGCACCCACCTGCGGCCGCCCCCGCGTCCTCCCCGCCGCGCACGGGCACAGGCGCCGCCGCCTGTAGGGAAGAGAGACCCGCGGGTCACGGGTATCCCATGCTGGGCGGGTCGCAGAGCGCAGGCACGGGCGACACCGGCCTCCTCCACGTCGCGGCCGGCTCCCTCGCCCGCCCCGCCAGCCGGAAAGAGCGTGGCGGAACTCGCGCTGCCACCAATGGGAGCCCAGGAGCCGCCGGGATCGCCCGCCCAAGAGCAGCCCCGCAGCGAATGGAGCGCGGCGGGGAGCGCCGGGCTGCGCCGGGCCCCGCCCACTTCCCTCCTCCACCCAATGGGCGGGGACTGGACGGAACCGGGGCCCCGCCTCCCCTCGCTTCCCGCCCAATGAGCTGCGAGGGCCGGCGGAAAGGGCGAGCCCCCGGGGGGGGCGGTCCTGTGGAGGCAGTGGGAGGGAGAGGGGTCGGTGGGAGGGGGTGAGACGCAGTCCCGCGGGGTGGTGGTCGCTGGGCTGCCGGCTGGAAGTCACCTCATTCAAGTGCGTTGTGGCTTTCCCAGATGGAAGTCGCGCTCTTCCCTCTTCTATCTCCGGTACAGCAGCAGGCAGGCTTCCCGGCGACAGCGCTCCCCTCGTTCCCGCTGCCGGAGGCAGTGGTGGTCCAGCAGTTTATCCTCGGGCTTTACCATTCCCACCGGGTGCCTCCAGAGTGTTGAACGAGCGAGGGGTCTAGACCAGTTCACAAAAGTGCTTTGTGTTCTCGATCCTTCTGATTTTGTCCCCATTTTTTATCTCTGTGGTAGACTCTTTCCAGTACGTCCATGTTTTGTTATACTTTGGAATGAAGGTGTCTCTCCCAGCTCCTGGAAGTTTTGCCACTGCAGAGGAATTCCAGGTCCAGCTGATAGTGCACAAGGGTGGTGGACTTGAGCATCTTGGGTGTGATTCATAAAGCTATAAATTATTTGAGACTGGCCCATTTAAAGGTCATTTATCTCCTTAAGTCAGGCTCCCACTGCAATGATAAGAGAGTCCACTTTCCAGGGGTCTGTTGCTGGAAGGGACAGGTGTTCCTTGTCAGAGTTCTGAGGCTTTTGCATCTTTTACTTAAGAAAGAAATGTGGTGTTTAGGGAACTTAGCAACATGCTAGAGAAACCACTTGTTTGAGAGAAGTTTGGGAGATTTCCCCATGGTATGCTGCTTCAGCAGTGAAGAACTGGGGGCATTGTTGGCTCCTGGAAAACTGATTGATTTAGTCCTGCTGTGATTCCACTGGGAGTATGGCACAGCTGCAAAAGTCAGACTTATTTATTCACACTTAGCTATTAACTGTGTGTTACCTGCCCACCTCCTACGGTGTGACTGTTCCCTCTCTACTTCCTGTTGAAACTAAGAATTCAACTTACTGCTGATATTTGAGAAAAAATGGTAAACCACATCAAAACAGAGCTCTTAGTTCTTTCTTGCCAGCCTTTACTTCTCCAGTTCTTCACAAATAGCACTGTCTTTATGGTCGCTCTGGTCCTGTAGGCAGCTGTAGGGCCTTTTCCCCTTGGTCTGGGCACTTAGGCTCTGTCTGAATCCTGTTGGCTTCTTTTCAGCCACACAGACTGTATTCCCAGCTAAGTTGTCCTTGCGAGTATAGTAGCTCTCTGGGCTTGAGAGCTCTCTTTAGACTTCTGTATTATCCACTCAAAGCATTCAGGAAAGACTTTCTTCCTCTTCCTTCTGTCTTCTACCTTCCCTTTCCCTTCAAGCACAGACTCCCTATCTTGCTGTCTACAGGCTCTACCCATGATTGCAAGGATTTCTGTGGGTGCTACATGCCACCCTTTAAGGCAAGTGGAGAAATTTGCAGAAATATCCAGTTCATGCCTTCCTAGACATGTGCATTGTAACAAATTGGCCACAATACTGTATCAAACTAAGCATCCTCCCATGCAATCATTTCTCAAATTTAGAGCATGTCACCAGGACTCATAACAATCATCCCTGTTGGGAATAGCAGTCATCTCAACTACTTTGTTGAGAATGCCCAAACAATTCTGGTAAATTACATGTACTCCACTGTGCTGAAGATGCGCACCCTGAGCCTGGTAAACATCCCCATTCTGAGCATGAAATGGAAAGGATCAGAATCTGGATTAAAACAAAAATCAGCCAACTATGCGGCTAAGAGGTTTCTCAGGATGCTAGAAGCATCAGTAGTCCCCACCATAGAATCAAAGAATCTTTTAGACTGGAAAAGACCCTTAAGATCATCAAGTTCAACCATTAACCTGACACTGCCAAGCCCACCACTAAACCATGTCCCTAAGCTTCACATCTGCATCTTTTTTAAAAACTTTCGGGGATAATCATGCAACCACTTACCCGGGCAGCTGTCCCAGTGCTTGATAATTCTTTTGGTGAAGAAATTTTTCCCAACATCCAATCTAAACCTCCTCCGGTGCAACTTGAATTATTCATCAATGGTCAATACTTCAAAAGCCACAGAGTCACAAAATGATTGCATTGGGAAGGGATCTCTCAAGGTCTTATGGTCCAACCCCCTGCTCAAGACAGGCCATCTACAACCTGGTCCACCTACAGCCCAGGACTGTGTCCAGACCACTCTCTATTGAGGGAGACACCTCAACCTTTCTGGCCAACCTCTGTCAGTGTTCGATCACCCTCACAGTAAAAAAGCATTTCCTGATGTTCAGAGAGAAGAACTTCTGTGTTTCGGTTTGTGCCCATTGCTTCTTGTCCTGTCACTGGGCACCACTAAAAAGATTTTGACTCTTCTTGTAACCTTCCTTCAGAAATTTATATACATTAATTAGATCCTCTCCAAGATGTCTCTTCTTCAGGCTAAACAGTCCCAATCTCTCAGCCTTTCCTCATAGAAGAGATGCTGCAGTCCATCATCTTTGTGGCTCTTTGCTAGACTCTCTCCAGCATGTCCGTATCTCTCTCATACTGATGCTGTTAAGGTGTTGACTCAGAGAGCCTTGAGGGATGCCAGTGTCTGCCTTGTGTCACGAGCATATTCACACTGGTATTTGGTGTAGAAAGAGTTCCTAGTAGAATTGTCGAGAGCTCGTAAGGCTTCCTTCTCAAACCCATGCTGTCCACCTCTACTTCCCTTTTGACAGCAGCTGGGCTGCCAGTTTGCCATAGCCATTGCTTATCGCACTTTTCATCTTGTGCACATGCTATTCACCTTCTTAGCTTGTGCTCTCGTTATCCACCTGCTTCTGACCCTGAGAGGAACCTCCTCAGAGCAGCGCACATCCTCCCAGTTACTGCTCAGTGTAACCATGCCCTCTCGCATTGGCAACAATTAAAATACTCATGAGCTTGGTGATTAATCACCTTTTCCACCAGCAGTTATTCTTAAAACATCCTTCATCAGATTAGGAAATGGAAGTTGCTGCAGTTACACTGCTTTCCATTCTGTTGTAAATTTGGTTGTCTTGAGCAGCTGGAGATGGAGGTTGCAACTTCACATTACTTGTCTTTCGAATATAGCCTCAGGTTTCCTGTTTTGCAGGCGTGGAGCCCTGTTGTTCAACAGCCTGATTGAAACATCTTGTGCTCACTCTTTGCTTTGGCATGGAGGGAAGCAGATCAGAAACTTCTGCAGCTGATATGAGTGAGGAGGTAACGTATACTTCTGTCAGATTCTCTCAGGCTTCTCCGCCAAGGGCCGAAGCTTCACAGGAAAAAAGAGGTAGGAAAGCCAGGTGAGGTCAGTCAACAAAAGATTTTATTTTGAGTGCAAGCAAGATCTAACAGAAACCCTCTGATCTGGCCACTGATTCGTAGTGCCAGCTTAGGGTGCTGTTGCTTTGGTTCTAAAATTACTGTGAATATTTTAATGTGAAAAAAGCTGATGGGTTAGAGACCTGGCATTGTCCCCTTCCCTCTCTGTGTCAGACCTCTTTCGGTGTCTATGCCTGGGCATTCAACCCAGGCATCCTTTTGTCCACAAGAGGTTTAAGGTTGTCTGCTTGTCAGCAATAGGAGATTGTGAGCAATAGTTCTTTGAAGGGAAGGCAAGATGCGAATACAGATAAATTAGAGACATATGGTAATCAGAGATCAGAGACAGAGAAGGCATATGATATCATCCAGCCTCTCTCCCCTGGGGCTATGCAGGATTCTTTTGTAATAGATTTCTTTTTGTTTTCTGTGTTCTAGTTTTATATACCTCCCAGTGAGCAAGTTTTCAGCTTTTGCCTTGAGACAGTTCTGCAGGGCATCTTACTATCAGGAAGATTTTCTTAGTGCTTTCCTTAAATTTTTTCTTCCCTTGTTTTCCCTCCATTACCCCTGATAGGCCTTGTCAGTGTCACATTGAGCAATACCTCTAGCTGCTTAGTTGAGAAATGCCACCCTAGAAGAGAGATTTTGCACTGATGGTCATTCTTTGTAAGTGTCTCCTTGCAAAATATTGAAGGGGTTGGAACTGGATGATCTTAAGGTCCTTTCCAACCCAAACTGTTCTATGATTCTATGATTCTATGAAATACCTGTGTACTTCAGATGAGTTGTGTTGCATTGGTTGCAACACTGATGGTTCACCTTAATTTTTTTCACAGTTGTTACAGTGGAGGGGCTCTTACTGTGGGATACAAGATTTCTATGCTCTGATCAGAATAACTGTGTATTCCTGTGGTGGTTACTGCTGCCTGGTCACTTACTGTGCTATGGTAACAAAGCCAGCACAGAAACCCCCAAGTTTCTCTCTAGTACTCACACTTGATCTGCTTGGAAAGCAGTCTTGCTTTTGCACATGTTTTCATCTGAAAACACAGTGACATCTCTTGAGATGTTTGCATTTTTCTTTTTAATATTCCTCCTTTTCACAGTCTTTCATGTACCCTCATCTTTTTGAGCTAAAGTCAGAGAGCCTAAAATAAGGAAGCTGATCTTTGAACACATTTTCTGTGTATATTATTTGATTATTTCTCAGCTCTCTTCAGCATGCAAGGGGTCCCTAAGGAGCTCAGTTCAAGTACCTTTCTTTAGAAGATCTTTATATTCAACTCTGTCCCTGCCTCCATCACTTTTGAGAGGCGTGCTCTCAGGCATTTCTTCTCTGTTCAAATGCACACTCCTACTGACTTTGTAGTTGTCTCTGTGGCACACTATCACCGACGTATAGATCAGTCGTCTGATTAAACAAACGAAGAGTTACCCTGGTTGTGTCTTCTGTTTGGCTTCCAGAGAGTCTTAGACGTGCTGCAGTACTAAAATGTCAGTCCACTAGTCACTTAAGACAGTGTTAGCCTGGGTGATGTGTTTGTCATCTCCTTTTTTTCTGCAGTTGGTCTAAAACAATAGAGAACTACTCTATTAATTGCCGAGAGGCACCAGCTCAAGTGCTCAGTGCTGACATTTAAGGATTAACCGTTTCACAGACTGTCATCCCAGCCTTGTCCTGGCAGTAGTTTTCCCTAAAATCAGTTAACAGTTATCTGAAGGATCCAGGAGATAGCTTCTTTGGAGAGGCAAGAGAGGAAGGAAAACAAGTGCAAATCCTCAGAAATATGACCTCAGAACCAAGAGATATGTTTCAACAGATATTTATCCCCTTTTACTTAGTTTTCAGTTGCAATCTGCAGAGAAAAATCTCCACCCTATCCATTATCCTCAGGCTGACATTCTCTTGAGGCTTATTCTGATGACAAAACCCAAGTCACCAGAGATACAAACATGACCTTACAAGAAGAATAGAGAGCAGAGTCAAAGTTCAAGTTCCAGACTCAGTCCAAGTCCTTCAATTCTCCCATTGTCTCCTTGTGTGAAGCCAAGGACTACATTGTAGCTGAAAAGTCTTTCTGTATTTTGTAACTGAAAAGGGGTGGGGTTTTGTTATTTAATAATGAGTTTACAAAATAAGAAATGTTGTAATTTTTTTAACTATGATTGGGCAGCTAGAAGTCCTACAAGCTTCAGGAAACACACCAAAACCTTTATCTTAGAAAAGATCTTTATACCAAAAGAATGATGCTTACAACAAAACTCCCTCATGCTCTCCCTTGTTACCTTAGAAACTTCTTCTAGCCAAAATTGCAGGTCTAAATATATTGCTAAAAATGAGAAAATGGCCTTAACTTTAGTGAGCCTGCAAACTGCTCAAGATCAAAATGAATTACTATTTATTAATTTACTGATTTGGTCTACTTTCTGTATTTGATAAAGCTTCCAGTGTTTAAAGGACACATTCTTGTTTTTTAAGTGAAGTCCCTTTCCCCTCTGTTTTAGCGCTGGCTTTCCTTGTCTTTCCCATGCTATTCTTGATATGTGATATGCGTTTGTTTTCAGTCTCCACCAAGAGATCAAGTGTGTTTCTTTGGGTCTTGTGACATGACCAAGAGAGAAGCACCTCAATTTTCATGAGATCCAGTAGGGACTTTGTTGCTGGATTTGGGTAGAAGGCTCTGAAGCATCACAAGAGCAGGATGTAGTACATAAGTTAACTACACATTTACTGCTTCTTAGAAAGTCCTGTTGTCTGTGCTGCTATGCAAACCAAACTCCCCTGGAATTCATCTGTGGTTGTGTCATCCTCTCCTCAGTTGGGGTGAGAGGACATTTTAGTGCTGGGATTTCAAATGTTTTATGGAAAGTGAATGCCTCTCAGGTCAAACACAGCTGCAGGAGATGACAATGGGAAAGCAACATGCAGCCTGGAGGTTAACATGTCCTGCTGGACAAGAGCAGATCTGTAGGAAAAATCCTTGCTTTCAGTTTAAGAAAATGGCAAAAATACCTGCAGGACAAGGAAAAATGCAGCAAGAAGTTCTTTATTGCAGCGCTGGGTGCAATCCTAAGTCACATAGGCCTAGAAGCACACCAACCGTTTGAAACACGCGCCTTTTGTATTCTCTTGGTTACATAAGCTGTTACATATTCAGTGATTTCCAAGTTTTTTACCTTAAAAGGTAATTTCTTGGACTCAGGAGGGGGTGTTACCCTCCCTCTTGACTGATTTGTGATGTACCCCCCTGTACGTTGTACAGGGGAGTCTCTCCACACACAATGGGTAACCACACCACAGAGGGTACATTTTTAATTTTATACTTTTCCCTATTCCTTGCCACAAAGGTTCCCTGGCGTCAGGCCCAGACAGGACCTTCCACCTTGCAGCTTTCACAATATACCTAAAAAACCCCTTGGAATTAAGTGAAAAAAAGAAAACCCCACCCCCTTCTGTTTTCCACTAAATTCATTTGCTTATAATAAAACCAGATTATTTATTTCTCATAGATCTCTCCATGTCAGTCCTGACCAGCCCTTTGAAAGGAAGCTGTGCTGGACTACAGTGGAGGCTGCCCCAAGGACTCACTCTCTGCCACTGGCAGCAATTGAACAGCAGGTGGTGGTGGTGAAATTGTGGAGGGACAGGCATCCCAAGGTCTTCAAGGCTGGCTCTCCCACCATGCCAACCCACTATGGAAGAGGCAGATGAGAACATAGAACTGACTTGGGAGTATCCTGGGAAGATGTAACATGACCATGTGCCTAAGCCTGTGGACAGGATGCTAAGATTAAACCTGTTGCTGTTGCTGAAAGAGCTAGGGGAAAAGCTTTGGGTTTCTTTTTGCATTTAGCTTGAACATGGTGGCTGTAGCAATACAGCTCTGTGTTTCCACCCCAAGCTTCAATGCTGAGGCAGGAGCAGGTTTATTGGGAGGCTCCTGCCAGAACAAGGCTCCACATGGTACCTGGGGGGCTTCAGCTGACTTGTGGTAGGTGCTTCCTCTTCTGGGGTCAGCCACCACAGGACCAGCTGTCTCTGTGGCCAGGAAGGGGCAGAGCTGTGGCTGATCTGAAGATGGGCACCTCCTGAGAAGCTCAGGCAGGAACTGATTGCCCCAAGCCCAGCTGAAATGGGACCCTGGACCAGTGGGCAGGGGCATGGGGAGACCCCAGGTAGGCTGGCAGTGGCAGTGATGTCAGCCATGTGCAGAGTGTAGACAGTGTTGCTCTAAAGAGTTCAATTCTTTACGGAAATGCGCTGGACAAAGCAAACTATGTAAAACCATAGTCAGTTTTCATGTGTCTCCTGCTCACTGTGATTTCTTTTCTCTTTTACAGATCCCCATCTGTGGTCAGCAGTTGTGCTGGGCTTGGCTATAGGCTTTGGGATATTGAGCACCTCCCTAGTGATTGCTTTGATTTGGAAGATGAGTAAGTGCACAAGGCATTACTGAGAATGAGCAACAAAAGCAAAGGACTGGAGACTCATCTAAGTACAGGAACTCCATTATTCGGGGTTAAACAAGAAGCTATTCTAGGTTTCTACCAGCCTTATGTACCCACTGCCTATCCAAAATATTTTGAAGGATATATTCCTTGTGCAGACCCCAGGCAACCCATTTCAAATCCTGTGGCAAAGAACAGTGAAACATATTGTGAAGTTTTTGTAGACTTGCCAGCTGTAAGTGTAGTGTTAAACTGTAGAACAAATGTGTCAGGTCTGTTACACTTCTGCATGCATGCAGAAGGTGCTAGACCATGTGGAGGAGCCTACTGTTATCTGCTTAAAATCCGTTCACCTGATGTGTGGCATAATCACAGTGTACCCACAGAGTGTAATCTGCTTTCAGATAGCCAATTTTAGTTATTGGATGTCTGAGTAGTTCAGTGGAAACCTGGGGTGGGTGGAGGGGTGGGTGGGGGTGTGCAAGCGTGTACTTGCACCAGCATCAGAGTGCACGTGACTATTGTAAGAAGATTTGGAAATTGCACAGAGAATCTGTGTTTGTGCATTGTTGTTTTCAGATGCTTGTGTTTTCTGCATTGCAACTGTCCAGAAGAGTTGCTTTTCAGTAGGTCCTTGCTGACAAATGTATTTCTGTTGGTTAATGATAGAGAAAAGCTAATATTTTGACTTCTTTTACAGATGACTCCTACCCACACTGCCCTGAAGAGTGGGTGGCCTACAGAGGGAGCTGCTACTCCTTCTCCAAGGAAGAGAAGGACTGGAATTCCAGCCAGGTATCCTGCTGGTCACAGAGAGCTCACCTCCTGGTCGTCAGTGATACCCGGGAAATGGTAATGATTTTCTTAGTCTTTAAGGATCTCCCATTTCCTTGCAGACACTAAGTGATTGACATCCAAGCAGTGTTGTCACTTCAGCAATATTTTGGCTTTAAATGAGAGGAAGGACTTATGATTGATGTTACAGTGCACTGCCAGTTTCAGTATGCACCTTAGAAGTTTGCAGGAAGCAGAGAAGCAAAGGGGAGAAGGGAGACGTGAGGGTCACTGTCAGCTACTCAGAATCATCCTATGAAGAATGTTAGGAGACAACCTTTTCCACTGCTCCTCTCCACCTCCCCTCCTATCCTCAATAAGGCTAATCGAGTGATTACAGGAAATGACTGTGACACTAGGCAGTCACGTACTCATCACTCACAAACCAGTACATCCCCACTCTCAAGGAATGCTTCCTTTTCAAAAGCTACGCTTCTCCTCCCTGCAACTGCTCCAGCTCCTTCTGCTCAGTGACCCATGCCATTCCCCGTGTTCATGCATGGATATTTCTTTCTCAGTCTGTTTTCAGTGCTTACTTCCCGTCTCTGCCAAAATACCTCAGTTGTGCTGGTGAAAGGAGGAACCATCTGTTCCACTGCAGGTGCCCACCGCGGGCAGGGCATGTATGGTCACTAAAGAAAGGGGTAGTGCTGATTACTGGGGCACTGAGGCACATCTGCTTAAGTAGAGCAGAAGCCTTGATCTGGTTTTGCGCAAGCCAGGGCTTATTAGCTTGGGTCCAATGAACGTGGACAGCTTCCAGTCCCTGGACAGAAGTTGCATTGTATGATGTTCTGTGGGGGCTTAAAAAGCCAGGTCTCTGCTTGACTGGGACGATGTACCAGGCTTTCACATTTGCTTAGACAAATCCGGACTCCTTAAGAAGTAGGCATCTTCCCCAGATTACTCATTTTTCTGCATAAAGAAAACCTCCCTGGTCTGGCTGCTTTCTTACCACCATCTCTGCTGCTTGAGTGTTACCTTTTATCCCTGCTCAGACTTACCCATCTAAGTGAGACGTTCCTAGCTATCCATGCCTTATGCTGCAAGGGCTATGATCGCTCAACCTCTGTGTACCAGGGAAGCGTGGTCACCTGCAAACCGCCAGCAACACTCAGGTAGTTCCTCAAGCTGCTCCTATTCCCATGACTTTACCAAGCTAGCTTTGTTAATGCTTCTCTGTGAAGATGTCTTCTCTGAAGCTTTGTTATGGCAGCAGGAGATAAGGATGGAGCCCAGCCATACAACTGAAAGGTTGCTGTTCTTTGGTTTCATTGCAAAGGTGGAGAAGAAAAACTTATTTCTCCTGGCTTTGTCTTTTATTTTTTTTGGAGGGAAGGGAGGGGCAGGGGATTTACTTCAGGGCTAAGTTTCTGTTGTAGGCTTCACCTTTTAACAATAAACAAGAGTTAAAATTTAGCCAAAAGGAAATGAACATTGCAAAAAAGTAAGAGGAATGTTTGTATAAAATTAGAAGAGCTTTGGTCCTGGGTTTGTTATGCATCTGTCAGTGCCTGCACTTCCTGCCCTGCCCTGATTTTTTACCTGTAATCGTTAATACTTTGTATTAGCTAGCTAGCTCCATGGTACAGTATTAATATTAATTCTAATAGCAAACATTCCTACATAAAGTGTGTAGGAAACTCCAGAAGATTGGGGTACAGTTCATAGAATCATAGAATATGCTGAGTTGAAAGGGATCCATCAGGATCATTGAGTCCAGCTCCTGGCTCTGCACAGGACAGCCCCAAGAATCACACCATGTGCCTGAGAGCACTGTCCAGAGACTTCTTGAACTCAGGCTTGGTGCTGTGACCACTTCCCTGGGGAGCCTGTTCCAGTACCCAACCATGCTTTGGGTGAAAAACCTTTTCCTGATATCTAACCTAAACCTCCCCCTACTCAACTTCATGCCTTTTCCTTGAGTCCTGTCACTGGTCATGAGAGCAAAAAGATCTGTACCATCCCCTCCACTTCCCCTCACAAGGATGTTGAAGGCTCCAATGAGGTCTCCCCTCAGTCCCATTCAGGCTGAACAAACCAAGTGACCTCAGCTGCTCCTCATATGGCTTCCTCTCCAGACCCTTCAACAACCTTATGGTCCTTCTCTACATGTCTCTAACAGCTTAATGTCTTTTTTATATTTCAATGCCCAAAACTGCACACATGACTCAAGGTGAGGCCGCCCCAGTGAAGAGCAGAGCGGGACAATGACCTCCCTCGACCAGCTGGCGATGCTTTGCCTGATGCCCTCCAGGATGTGGTTAGCTCTCCTGGCTGCCAGGGCACTCATATTCAACTTGCATATTCGACAACAGTTGTTTCATATATATTGCCCTGAGAAATGTTCTTTGAAGAATCTCCCCAGGACGCTGAAAGCATGCTTACTTCCTTGTGAGTGTACACATAGTTTTTATTCCAGGCATGATTTGCAAGGCTGATCTTCCTGAATAGAAGGTGTGGGTAAGCATATTGTCAACCACTTAAGGAACAATCAGGCAAAGGGATGTATCTTGCTTTCTGTTCTCTTTACTTATCCTGACCTCCATTCTCTGCTTAGCTTTCATTAGTCATTAGTCACTTGGTAATTCATCATCATTTCTAGGATCTGTTCAAGCGTATTCAAACAGAATGTTTCTGGATTGGATTGAGGAACAGCACAAGCTCTGGATGGATTTGGGAAGATGGCTCCATATCCAATTACACCAAGTGAGTTTCATTCTATTTTAAAAACAACAGTGCTGACTCAGATTTCCTGGTGTTCCACAATACCCAGATTCCTACTCCAGATCTCAGGACCTTTCTTTCTGGGCAGATTTTCTTCTTCCTGTCACCTGTACTGCACTAAGATCGACATGGTCTACTTTTTACTGCCTTGCACCTTGTAAAGGCATGTACCTGTGAAAATCAGGTCTAATATTAGTATTGCACTCCCTACTTCCCTCCAGCTGCTCAGACAAAGGATTTTATTTACCTGCACCACCCACACAGATGCTCAGTCAGAAAGGCATATGACCCTACTGGGTTTAGCCACCTTGCACCAATTCTGTCAAGTGCTGGTGTCACTGGGTGTGAGGACCCTGCCCTTTGCTGCTGCACTGGTGCCAACCCACATCAGAACCTTAATTTCAGCTCAGTCTCTACTTGGACAAAACTCAGCATTTTGCATGACGGAAAACATTTATGGTTTGGTCCATTGACTTTGCCCGGCCTTTCCTTTTTATGGCAGTTAAGACAATCAGTTAGTTTCTAATGCCTCTCCAGCAAGGAAACTCACCCAAGATCTCACCATCAGTAGGTCAGTACTCTAGGCACTTGATTTAATTCCCTGCTTAAATCCAGCTTTCCATTCTTACAAACTCCTTGGAGGTGATCATCTTTCCATGAAACACTCAGCACTGCCATTCTCATGCTGGTGGATATCACTGCCACTGCAAGGCATCATGCCTGTGTTTCATTCTGATTTAGGTTCCACAATGGCAAAATTACTTGGTAGTAGTGGGAAGGTGAGTTCTTTAGTGTACATTTTATTTTCTAACAGCTGCCTTTTGGAGGTTGGGTTCTTTCATTTCCTCTGGGCTACACCCTTCACAATCAAATGTTTTTTCTTTCTTGCCTCCAGGAGACAACCTCAGCATTTTCTCCCAATCTCACTTCTGTTCTGTGTCTCTTGAAGGGTCCTCTCTAACAGCCATGTGCAACACTGTGCTGTCCTGATGAAAGGTCATTTCCATGCCTCCAGCTGTGAATTTCGTGCTCCATGGATCTGTGAGAAATCGCTTAGATAAATCCTATGTGCATTTTCATCTCGTAACGATCTCATCAATGGTATGAATTGATCATTGTCCTGCAAACCAAAGCTTCACACAAGAGCAATGACTTGCCTTTTCCATAGCATCACAAAGGTGATTTGCCCATAAATGTAAGTTATCTTCAGTGGTAGATCTGTTCTCAGTCCACATGTGTTAGATTGCTGCTGTTTGTGACCAGGTGAGACCTTGGACATATTCCCTGGCCTAGTCTTTCCCTGTTTGTCCTGTAAGAGCAAACAAAAGCTTTATCACAACAGGTGTCTTCAGATCTTTGAGGATGAACTATCAATTTTCCTTCAATTTTGAGGATCAGATTTCATTTCCATTCCCTGCATTTCCATTGTCTGATATCAGAAGGACTGGAAAAATGAAGCCTGATGTTCACTGGCAGAAACATATAAACAGAATTTCCCAGTGGCAGCCTCTCCTTTTGCATCCCAGTGCTATGAGTGGGAGAAAAGAGGGTGAAATGCAACTACAGCTTCTGTAAATCCAGCAGAGAAAATAAACCTCTATTACTGCACTGGACCAAAAGCGTGTACCTGTGCCATTTCTTCTCTCTGTTGGAAGGAACTAGTTGCAGGCCATGTTTTATAGGCCAACTTTAACCAAACTAGTCAAGAGACAGGAGTCAAAGGTATACAGTTAATTGCGTGAAACTGAATCAACCAAGAAATTGTTTTCCTCTCCACTTCTGCACTTTCATACTGCAGAGAGAGGAAGCAGTGGACAAATCCTTAATAAAAGGAACTTTTAGTTCAAATAGAGCAGAGCCAGGCTCAGAGTTTGAACAGCATAAAAACACAGTGAATATTAAGGGTTGGACAGTAGATTGCATTTCCGCACAGCTGGAAAACTTTTTTACACACAGAGATTTTGTTCCAACAAAGGAAGAGAAATTTTATTAATTTCCAATTTATCCTCTTTATGGTAATATATTTATATTTCAATTTACTGTTGTCAATTTATCCTTGGTCCAGAATTGCAGTCAGAGCAGTAAGTCTGAAAGGACTGCCTGATGGTGGATGGTCCTGATGCAAAGTTACTGCTATTACCCAGTCTGAAGGTTTGACTGACATACAGGCTGCTGAGCCCGTATGAATGACCTCTGAAGCACACGCAGCAACCATGGGCTGCTCTGAACACCTCACCATGCAGATATGATATGGTGCACAGAAGTGTTTCCTTGGGGATTTCCCAAACAGGAGGCCTTAAGCCTTGCCTTGGCGAGCAGCAGGTTCCTGGTAGATGTTCTGAGGTGTGTGTTTGTTCTGGCAAAGATAGGCTGGAGAAATGGGCTGACAGGAACCTTGTGAAGTCCAACAAGGAGAATGTCAAAGTCCTGGAGCTGGGAAGGAACAGCTCCATGCACCAGTACACCATGGGACTGACCCACTTAAAAGGAAGCTTTGCAAAAAATGACCTGGGAATCCTTTTGAACATCAGAATGAATGTGACCAGCAGTGTGCCCTTGCTGCAAAGGAGGCAAATAGTGTCCTGGGCCACATTAGACAGAATAATGCCAACAGGTTGAGGGAGGTGATCATTCACCTCTACTAAGCACTGGGGAGGCCACACTGGGAGCACTGTGTGCAGTTCTGAGCTCCTCATACAAGAGAAACATGGACATACTGGAGAGTCCAACAGAGGGCCACAAAGATGATGAAAGGACTGGAGCACGTCTCCAGCATCTATGAGGCAAGACTGACACAGCTGGATGGTTTATTCTAAAGCAGAGAAGGCTGAGGGGAGATCTTATTCATAGAATCATAGAAGTACAACAACCAATTTTAGCATATCAATTCAGACTCCATACAGTTTACATTTGCTTCATATTTTTATTCTAATTGGAAGGAAATCCTTACCAGCTACCAGTGGCATTATCTTCCATCTACTTAACAGGATGTAACACATGAAAGTGTCAAGGCAGATGAAGACAAACATACGTATCTTAGCATACTCAGCTAAGTGGATATCTGCTTAGCCTCGTATAGGGTTTACTGAGCTGAGAGTCTTAAGGTGGAAATGTTTCCAGCAAGAGTGGGTCTGTTTATCAATAACTGTGCCTGCAACATTAAGACCTGAGTAAACCGCAGTGTACTAGGAAGTGAAAACTTTTTTTCATCTTGGATTGTCTGGGTTACTTTGGGTGAGTCATTTTGTCTGTGCTAGAGTCCATTCAGCTATCAAAAGATGGTTGTCCCTGACTCCTAGAAAGTTGCGAGGTCCTACAAAATAGTGATGGAGACTTTGCCTACTTTGTCAAAATGGTGGTGGCATCTGCAGAAGGAAAGCTAATAGTTACTTTACCAGAGAATCCCAGAGAAGAAACAGCTTCTTATATTGTCATGACATGTAGGCAAGGTGAGCATGTGTCTGAGCTTGCATAGTTTACCTTGTCAATAATGACACAGCTTTACCTCCCCTAGGATTTTACAGTGAAGGGCATATTATAATTTATTATATAATAATGATTTATTATTTTAATATATTAATACGTTAATCTTTAGCTCTTCAAATGTAGGCTCTCAATCTCATCCCAAAGAGATGCGCAAGAAATGTAAGATAAATAAATATATTAGGTTACCTCAAAAGTTGAGCAGTCTTTGAAGGGAAAGGATTTTTAGCTGTGGATTTTATTTTCAACAAAGCACGTAGCACCTCTCTAGGTTCAAGTTTTTGCAATACTAAAGCAATTTGGAGCAAATATTTTCAGTTCCGTGAAAAACAATTGAACAAGTATCTTTGGCAGAGCTTTTAATCTTCTATCTAGAGCATGTTGATATAGTTGATTGATACATACTGGTTTTCTTGGAAGTAAGTTCTTTTTGTATGAACTCTCTAAGCCATCATGAACGAATACTGGAGGAGCATGGCTAGCAGATTGAGGTAAGTTACAATCCTTATTCTCCATGTCATTTTTGAGGCTGCACTTGAACTCTGTTGGGTATGCTGACCCCCAGTTCAAGAGGAACATGGAGAAACTGGAGGTAGTCCAAAGGAGGACTGTCAAACTGGTCAGAGCATGGGAGCAGGAAAATTCATTGCCACAGGGAGTGACAAGGTAGGCAAGACTTGTTTAGTCTGAACAAGAGAAAGCTGTAGTGATTAAAAAACTACCTACGAATACTTGAAGGGCAGTTACAAAGATGTTAGGACGTGAATTTTCCTGGTAGGGGCAGAGGATATAATGTGGGGCAATGGCTACCCCTGCAGCTTTGGGAGTTCAGACTGGACACAAGGAAAGACATCTTCTAGTGCAACACAGGAACACATCATGAGAGAAATAGCAGGCTCTTCATCCTTGGAAGTTTTTAATATCTGATTTGACAAAGTCACAGCTGACAGCACTGGCAGAAGTCCTGGTATAAGTGAAAAGACAGACTACATAAAGTCCAGAGCTCCCTTACAACCAACACTTCTGTGATGCTATTCATGAATGAAACAAGGTTCTTGGTTTAGATACAGGATACTTAATGCTGGTTTTGTACAGTTGGGGCACCTTTGAGCTATGTCAAATGACAGAACTTCAGATTTGCTGAGAGAAATCTCAGAAAGACACTACTAAACCACACTCTCCTCTTGGACAGACCAACACCTTGTGGGTGTTTTCTTGAGGATTTAAGCACTTAAAATCTAGCCAAAAAGATCCAGAAAGCCTCTTTGCTTTCTCAGTTGTGCTCACAGCAAGTGGAAATGGCAGGGGAGAGTGGGAAAATTCATTGCCACTGCCTTGTCTGTGCCACCTCCTACAAGCTAAATCACACGGGCAATACAGAGACCCTTGAAATTAGGCTGCTGGGGTCCAAGTTGCTATTGGGAATGATATAGAGGCCAAGCAGTTTGAGGGCAGTTTGGTATCTGTGAATGTTAAGTGTACTTACTGGGATTCTCAAGTCTTTGAAAACTTGTCCCTTTCAGTGAACTGAAATAATTTTTCTTCAGCTTTTGGCTACAAGAGCACATTTTTGACCAAGGTCCTAATGATGAGGAGCTGACTTGGGAGCAGTGTGAGCCCTTTGGCTATTTGACAAAAGGCATTCCTATGCCATGTGTAGTTCTGCACGCTGTTGCTGTAGGGTTTATGTTCAATCAGTCCAGCTCCTGACCTGTTTGAACCAATGTAAATAGTAATCTTCAAAAAGGCTTTGACCACTCAATGTGCAAATCCTCTTCTCTGTGGGTGAGGCAGACTTTACCGGGTTACATTTCTTTTGGGGGGGGGGCGAAGTGACCTTTAGGCGTCAGATGGAGAAGGAAGAGCACAAATCTGGGCTGTCTTTTCGCAGTCCCCAAGGAAATTGGACACTACTATCCTCTTGTTTCCTGTGCAGGTCACTGCAGGGCAGAATGTAGTCTGTAATGAATATTTGTTATTGCACTGCACTTGGATTTCTTAACTCCAAAGTTCCTGAGCTTACCAAAGTTCTGATGATGATAGTAGAAGGGAAGGACAGTCAGAAAATCATTTTATACTGCACACTTTTTAATCTGAAAATTATGCTTTACATCCTCTAACATAGAGCTCCATTCTTTGGAGTATGCATTAGAAATATAAGTAAGGCAAATATTCTACTGCCATTTACAAGGGTAATAATTACCAGAGCTATTGATCTTCCTACTGCAGACCAAGGTAAAGACAGTAAAGACAGTGGTCAAAAAACCCTATTTCCCTCTGTGATACAACACTACCCATCACAGTGCATTACATAGATTTTCACCTAGTTAAACCAGGACAACTCCATCAAACAGCAATAACTTGATCTAGATGTACCAATAATTTGACCCAAAACAACAACCAGTACAGGGAAAGTAAGACCCAGGCCACATATGTTCTGCTGGGTAGGGGTAGCTCTTGCTCTGGGGAGTTGGTTAATGTGTTACATGCTGTTAATGAGTTGAACTTTTGGCAGCTTCCCATCATGTCACTGTCCCTGTTTCTGTCAGGGTGAAGGCCGGATTATTTTAGATGACTTGATGTTCCAGGCACTCTCTGGCCCCTTTTCCTGGCATTAGCTTTGATGGGACCAGAAATGGAGATTAGAAGGGAACAGAGTGGGTGGAGGGAGAAGGTTTTTACAGTTTAAATTCCTTGTTTTCAGAACCTTGCTGTAAATGATGGTTAGGCACACCCACGCTTGTTTCTCAAATCCTAGCTCAATGTCCTGCTCCCAGTCTGAAGGAAATCAAACAGCACCTGCTCCTCCAGCAGCCTCTATGACCAGTGCCATGTCCAGCTCCATACAGGGAGCCCTACAAAAAATGGAGGCCTTGCCCTCATCCTCTGCTGTTAGCCCTTTATTTCTCTAGCTACCACCTTTCATCTTGCATGGCCTGCTGCCCTGCTCCAAAAGAGAGACAGCTCCAGCCTGCCAGGAACCCTCCCCTCCCTCTCTCCCCCAGCACCTGGCCTTCTGCCCGGACTTGGAGCTGCTAGTTCCAACTCCTCCTTACTGCCTCTCCCTGTTTCCGGATCAGCCCTGGCCCCCAGCCCTTATCTCCTCCAGCCCCTGGG